GACATTTATTTTCTTACAAGCAGTGTTCATCAAATGAACATTTATGTCATGCTAGACTGAAAGAATAATAAAATTAGAATTGAAGAAAAACTTTGATTGACTCCCCATAATATGTTATTTGACTAATGAGAAAAACATATCTTTTTAGAAATCTTTCCAGGACGAACTATAAGAATTGTGTCAAAGTCAAGGCAACCATCTAGATAACGAGAAATAGTTCTATAATAACAGATGATCTCCACATACAATCACTCAATAAATCAAAGTTATTTTTATGAGTAGTATGTATATTGCAATAATAGCAAGTTCAATAAAGTCAATTATTGAGTTGTTGATAATGTCTATAAAATCATGAGTTTGTTTGTATAAGATTTTTGTTTGTTCAAAAACAGTCTAGGTAGTTCACTACGACTGACTAATTTATCAATTCCTCTAATTTCGTAAGACGTTACAGAGTTCTGAAGAATTTTCAATGCATAAAGATGAATCAAAGTCGATTTCATCATTAAGGTGCTTGGTTAGCTTAGAGCGATAGTTTTCACATTACTCAATTGCAAAAAATCGAGGTATATATTATTTTCTCCTTTCACTTGTGGCATTTTTCTACAATGACAGATCATATTTAAGTAAATCACTGTCAGAAACATAAATTCAAAACACTTGCCAGAGCTTGCTATCTTGGCCATACTTTCAAGTCTGTTTAAAAATCAACATTGAAACAGCGCATTGTGAAAATACAAACTGGTTGCTTACGTAGATTTATACGGTAGATTATTAAGTGAAAACAACACCGTCATTGTTCCTATTACGAAATCATATTTCTCACTACTTTGTCATGTTTCAGATTCAAATCACGTCAAATAGGTTAGGAGAAGGAAATTTTATTGGATATACAACACAACATTTATTAATGTACAGTAGTAATCGTTCTAACTGTGTTTACGAGTTAATGTTGCATAGGCCATGCTTCAGGAGTAACATTGTGTGTTCTTCGTCGCCAGCATGGAACTAATTTCTTGATCTTTTGATGAAGCTCTGGTAGTGACGCAGCATAAACAAACGGAAGTAAAAGATCGCCATGATAAGCAAAATAATCTGCATATGCTACGAAATCAGCTCCGAACTCTTCGGAAACTCCACAAGCATATACAAATTCGAGGAGCATCTTCGGAATATGTATTATAAGGTATAGAAGGGCAATAGACAATAATTGAATGGCCATTTTTCGATGCTTATACCAAGAAATCCGTTGATGGATGCGATGTTTTTGATACAAGACACGCACAAGTAGAGCGATACTGAAAGATATAATGATGATGGCAGGCACAAGATCGTGAGCGATGACATCCCAGAAGGCTATCACTTGATTTTGATAAAAGCAAAGAGGTTGACCACATAAAAGTTGAGTGTAGTCGAAAGTATTTTCACAGGGTGGAAAGATAATAATAATTAAGTGAAAACCAAAACAGTAGAGAAGAAGTATGACTAATGGAAAAATATGGAAAGCAAATAATTTCTTTTTGGTAGATACCCATCGATCATGAAAAATCAGGATATGTCGTTCAACTGTGGCCCAAGCAACGAGGATTGTCGTTGTGATATATAGTACTTCATTAATATACATCCAGGTAAGACAGAAACCATTTGTTGCTGGCCAGACTTCATTCAAACGATAGTAGTGGAGAGTCCATGGAATGTCTGTTACTTTGGTGATAAGATTAATGAAAAGAAGTATGATAAATACATGATTATGAAGAGCACGACGTAACTGTCGATCAAAGACAAGATGATAGAGCACAAATAAAGAACAAGCAATCGATGGTATTTCAAAAATAAGTATTAGCCAAAATTGAACAGAACGAGGAATTACAATCTCATGAGATGTACCCGATAGATAGTTTTGCGAGACTGCAACTTCCGTTGACATTTTCTAAAAGGAAAGTTACACAACACATCATTCATACCTAGAGTATATAAGTTGATGTCGAAAACAGATGAAGTAATTATAAATTCACTCAATGACAAATAGTGTTCACATCGAAAAAGTTAGTAGCTGTCAGAGAAATTGCATTTCATTATTTTCCATCCTTCAATGAAATTTACATACGTAGTTTTAGATGAATTCACGAAAGTCTTATTTCTGTAGATGATTATAGTGATTGTTAGATATAACAGAATATATCAAGCAAATATGAATCCTAACAAAGTGATTTTCTTTTAAAAATATTGAATTTTTTGAAAAAGTAAAGCAATTCTTGTCGAGCATATTGTGTCGAAGCATCGAACTTCTAAGCTACACTTCACTTAGATCCAGTCAACAATAATAGCTATGAAAAGCTAATTAGTCTCTCTCTCCACGTAGTTAATTAACATGATCAAACTTAAACTTGGCTCTGCTCAGAGCATTCTCATTTGTTTCCTGATGATAATGTTGGAAATGCTTACATTCTAGATACTTTTGTATGTCAACTACATGACTATATCACTGAAACTAAATCCCGCTTACACGAAGACATGAACAAACTTTTACTGTATGCAAATGTCTAGCATAAACCAATGGATGCAGAAATGATTGATCTACGTGTAGACTATCGAATGATGAAATTTCTTGATATAACAATTTGTTAAAATCGAAAGTCTACTGCTCAATTGAGTTTCTTGAAGAATCTAGTATTCATTTAAATGCCATATTTTCATTTCAGAACATGATAGAAACTCAAATCGGAAAAAATGCATTTTACTTTCTCTGTCCTAGGATGTCTACATATATCTTACGCAACTTTTTCCGATTGAAGATTCCCGTCTTGAATACCTTTATACGTCTGCATCTTTGTTTTTAAAATTCGATTGTTTCACATCAAGGTATAGTTAAAAGCGAACTAACGCTTTTCATCAACGATATCATCCATTCTAGATCGATCTGTACGAATAGCCACATAAAAATCTACACAACATGCCATAGTTGCTGATCTTAGAAGAGAAGTTCCGCGTATGTCTATAATAACAATTAGTGGAGATAGAAAGACACAAAGCAAATGTTTTCAATCAGATGTTGACACACAATTATTTACTCGACTAAAACCATCAACACTAAGAAACTTTTTTTATATAAGAATATTTGACTAGAATCCTCACAAAAAAAAAGGTTGACGTTCATAAACACAAACTAGGAAAATTTTCTATTAATTATGTAATTCTATTGTGAACGTCTAGACCACGTGTCTCAACTTGCAGTGGTTTTATCGTAGTCATGATATTTTTTTGTCCACATAATACTATTCCTAAACGTGGCGTTCTGATTTCTTTTTCTTATCTCTATCAATCTTGTTTCCTTGTTACCTTACTACTATGTTACGGTTGTGCTTGTATGACAAACGGTCAGCACTATTTGTTGAATTTACCTTTTCTTACGATGCTATTGAGAAATAACACGTTCACTTTCGTTGATATTTTGAATCACATGTTTTCTTTTTTAGAACGAAAAATGATTCTCGACAGCTAATCAATCATATTTGTGCCTTTGACGAAAAAAATCCTTTTTGATTTTACAATTCTGACAATAATATTGTGCAGAATCAACAAATGTTTTCACATAAGTACTAAACATCATTCTCTTATAATGTAACAAAAAATTTATATTGAACGTATTCACTCGTCGTTAAAAGTCTATATCAACGATCTTTCCAGTTTGTTAGTATTTTACTGATTCAGTTTTTATTCTTGTAACTCGACAACTTATTACTGGTTTTTTAATTGAATTATAATACATCTAATTGAATGATCGAACTATCATTTTGATATATCTGGCTGTATATATTACTTTGAAATCTTTAAAAAGCTTCACAATCCTTTCCAATGAACAACTCAAATCTTATCCTTGAAGACAGATACTGTTTCAATATAGTTAATAGTATCCTGTAGTTATGGAATGTTGTTCGTCTTCAGACATTCTTTCTGAGCTGATCCGACTCTGTGTATACTCAGCTTAGTTTTTGACATCAAACATAGCTCTTTTGTATTTCATTAGATGATAAAATGATTCATCTGCGTCGTTAAACACGTCGACTGATTACAACATTGTGCTTCAATGTGATACCAGAATATTTTTCACTGCCTCATGAAGTTTTAACGATGATTTTCTTTTATTCCTTTTTTTGTAGTTCAAAATATACTGTGACCAAGAAACTCTGAAATAAATCAGTTCAATTGCTGAACAGTAATCCTGTATTAAATAACATAAACCGACTGAATGTTATGTAAAACAATAGTCAATGTTCAAACTATAATACATATGTATGTAACTAGAGACAGTTTTCTCATGATCAGCGATTCTAATAAGGACATATCTGTCTACTAAACGAGTACTGAGAAAAAAGTGTATGGAAAATTAATGATAATAAGTTTTCGAAAGTTTGTATACTAAACGGTAAGTTCTTTACAATCTACTAGATAGATGTATATATAAGTCAACAAATGAAAATTTCCATCCATTGATCTTGCAAAAGTTTTTGCTTTTGTAATATATTTCTAAGTTGTCTAGAAAAGTTTCGACCTCAATAAACTACTGTAAAGCGCTTAAATTTACTGATGGCAAACTGTTGAAAACTATTTAACAGAGCTTATGAAACGATTTTATAAGCGCTGTGAAGCGTTCGTCATCAATAACGTTTTTATTGTATTTAAGCACTTCCCAGAACTTGAACTAGAAAAGCACTTGGAAGTGCCGTGATTTTTCTTACTTGTAATCAGTACAATGTCTAGTAATCTTTAACAATGGATAAGTAAAGATCATTAAGTAGCGAAAATACTCAATATATATTGCTGAATTCCTTTGTTCATACTTACTTAACCTACGATGCAAAAGTCTTTGGAAAAATGTTCAGCTTTAATTCGAACTGATAGACGTGAGGTTAAAGTAACATTTTATCATCAGTTGATAGCTTATTCTTTCCTCTTTCGAATGATATATAATAGATTGTTCCTGTCCATTAGTAACAAAAATGACACGTGCCGAAAGAGAAGCACTATCACAACGTATTTGCAACTTTTATCATGATGCAGCTAATAAGTCCGTAATAGTTACGGTAAAATATTTTAAAAAACAAAATATTCCTCAAAGTACAATATATTATATATTGAAGAAGTATTTAAAATGTGGAACTAACAAAGATCAACCACGGTGTGGTCGTCCTTTAAAAATATCCAACAAAAAATTAAATAATCTTGTTAAATCAGTGAACAATCGATGTGGTTTAAGTCAACGAACAATGGCACGACCACTCCACGTACATCAGTCAACAGTTTCACGTAATCTTAGAAAAAGAACAATGGTGGTTATAAGAAAACGTCAAAAAGCTCCCAAGATGAATAGTGAAGAACAAGAAAAACGAGCAAAGAAAAATTGTGGAAAGTTATATCGAAAAATGTCAACTGATTGTAACTTGATTATGGACGATGAAAAATACTTTACATTAAGTGGAAACAACGTATACTGCAACCGCTATTTCTATTCCACAAATCCAGCTACAACTCCTCCAAACATAAAATTTCGAAAGAAAGCAAAATTTGAACCAAAAGTGATGATTTGGATGGCAATCTCCACGAAAGGAATTTCCGACATATACGTTCACAAAAGCAAGTTAGGTGTTGATCAACAAACATATTTACAAGAATGTATCAATAAACGATTAATACCATTTATTAATAAATATCATTATGATGGAAATTATTTATTCTGGCCAGATTTGGCAAGTTCACATTATTCAAAAATTGTGCAAGAACGTTTGAATAAAAAAAACATACCATTTATTTCTCGTAATGATAATCCACCAAATGTACCACAAGCTCGTCCAATTGAACGTATCTGGTCTATACTCGAACAGAAAATATATGCAAACAACTGGGAAGCAAAAACTAAAGATCATTTGATTCGAAGGATCAAACAAAAGGCAAAAGAACTTGATCAACCAATGTTGCAAGCCATGATGAAGGGTGTTCGAAAAAAGCTTCGGTCTATGTGGCGAGATGGACTCTATTCAGTCTGTTAAATATAGTTTTTTGTTGTACTCTAGATGCTCTTTCTAATAAAAAAAAATTAGGTTTTTATCTTTTAAAACGGCTGAGCTGTGTAGACAGACATTTTTCCAAAGACTTTTGCATCGTAGGTTATCATATAATATAGTACATCAGGTCAGAATGATTCTTCTTGTTAGTTAGATAATTGATCAAATGTGAGAAGCTTTAGAAATCCACTGAGTCTTGGAATCAGTATTAGAATCAATGTCTCCGTGGCATTAATCTGAGATACTTTCTTCTGAATTGTCCTCGTTAAGTAAAAAAAAAAAAGTATTCTCTCTTACATTATAAGAAAACAATATTTTGTCCTACTAAGAATACTCGACCTCTCACTTGACACGAATTTCTAAAGCATAAACCATATTACTTGTTTTGTCTTATTTTAACTTTAATGTTCATTTGTGAAAGAAACTTTGTTGTCTTCTTCACTTACTACAGTGATTGCTAGTCTCCGATTCTTGTTCCGTTGTTTACTCATATGTATAATGAATGGATAGCAACAGAAAAAAGAAATCAAATTAAAACTCATCAGTCAATTGATACAAAATAACGTAGTATTCACTTGAGTAAAAAATGATAGAAATTAATGATGCACTGAACTGTAATTTTATTATTATTTCTTCACACTTATGCACAGTGGAAAATGTGCGTTTACTAGATGAAAAAATGATTTCTGAAAAAGATTCTTACTTACTGACCTATGCATTACGTGTTGAAAAAGCAGTGGATAATAATAGTTGTCATTTATTACGCATATATAGTGTTGAGTTGCATGTGCAGGAATTTTTCTTGTGGTCGTAAATTTCTAACTAAATTTGTTCTATATGAAATCTCTATCATTTGTTCTCTTACTATTGTATTATATCAATTTTCTTAATTCAATTCTTGCCCTTTTTATTTTTCTGAACTAGTTATTCCGTTATTTCCTTCCTTGAGTAAAAGTTTATTGCATTTTTTTTTAATTAGTAGGTTTAATCTTTTTGAATTATGTGCTGATTCATAACAGACTTGATGAAACGAGTGGATTAGTGTGAATGTGTAGAAAGAAAAGAATAAGATTCACATCCACACTGAAACAAATGTGAGTTGATTCTTACTTGTTACTATTTAGCGAATTTAACGTATATGTCTTCATAGGCATCAATTTACAACAGTGTGTATAAAAAATGTTGAGAACAAAATTGACTGGTGAAAAATAATATCATATTAATGCGAAGTATGTTTAGCCAACTCATTACCTTCGAAACTAGCATCTCTTATATCCAATGGTTAAAACTAACGGATCCTCTAAAGAAAATAAATTGTAAATAAATCTGAAATAACCTACAGAATAAGGTATTCTGATGATCCGCTATATTTGCCTGCAAGTTGGATTGATACATAAAAAATCATGAAAATAGCATAAACTGTGTAGGATTTCTTATTTTGTTGAGACTTGGTCGAGACAATGAGTTTTTACCCAATTCTTCCAACGTGAGCACGACTTTCGAAAAAAAAATCATAGATTTAAATGTCGATCTGAAATTGTCTGTAATAAAAATTTCGATTAAACTAATATTTCACATAATAAATTTTATCATGGTTGAATATTGTTTTGATAAGGTATGAATTTATCAAAATCTTTATATTTCACACATTACTTAAGAAAAATTTATATATTTTGAGAAATTCATATCTTGACAATATGATGTTAAAAACTGATGAAATTTTATATATGCCATAGTCTAATTGAGACTGTCATATATACAAAGATGCAAGTCAAAGTTCAAAAACTTATTATTTTAAACTGCTCTTCCAGAAGAAGTTTCATAAAAAATCATTATCTTAATTAAATATAGATTAGAGTCGGAATTTTCAGAGAGTTATTTTATAATAGTGATGCTCTATATATGAGTATAGTTTGGTGTCCATTGAAACAGATCATCTACGAATGTTTTGTTATTGAAACTTGGTACTTTTTCAATGGCTTGTAATATGCGCTTTTCTCCACTTGCAATACTTACCATTTCAGTACTTCAAAATGCTTACACATCCAACTAAAAGTGCTTATTGTCTGCTCAACATGAGCTCTTTCCTTTACTTTTCAACGAGAAATATAATCTACTTTAAGCAAGCGTCTTTTCTAAAACTTACACATGAATGCTCACTTTATTTTTTAAGTTTTCTGCTATGTTTTTGACTAACCTATGTCAGATTAACATTGCACTTCTTTCTATAAATATTTCTAAAGTAATCTAATAGATATTTAAGAACTTTTCTATTCCGAAAGCAAGATTCAATAATATGTACAATTTCGAATTCTAAATAGCATTGAATCAAATAGAATAAATGTTTGGAATGGCTAGTCTTGTTGATTTGAAATAGTGAAATTGTTTTTTCTTTCATATCTACAATACGCTCGTTCAAAACGGAGCAAAGAAACATGAATATTTTGTTGAAATATTCAAAATAGAACTAATTTTCACGTTACCATCATATTATCTACAGACATTCTAAAGATTATATAAAAACACCAACCAATCAATTAGTAGATCTCTATTAAAAATAGTTAACAGAAATCGTCAAATCGTACGTTGATCATATCTCTATATAGTATAACAGCTATAGAACAAAAACTCTCAGTACAACAGCGAATGAAATACAAAATGTATAACTTAAACAAGAATATTAGATTAATCAAAACGAAGAAAATCTAGAGATTTACGAACTATAAATCATCAAAATCAAAATAAACATTGTACGAAAAGAAAATAGCACATTTATTGAACGAATTCACTTCGCTATTTTCATAGCAATATTCCTAAGAAATTAGAAGACAAAGTCTAGATCAAAATTTACACTCACTATTATGTAGATAATTGCATATGATTATTTGCGTACTGTTGGAAAGCTAGAGTTGGAGTCCTTGCAGAAAATTTTAATATCTTGTTCAACCTAAAGAAATTTTCAAAAGAATAACATATGTCTGAATTTATAGTTCACACTAACGTGGGCTCTACGATTAGCCAAAGCGTTAGAGTATCATTTGTTTTAAAACGCACCTGAATCTTTTCCGTTGAAGCACCAGTGTCCAAGGTGACAGAAGAACAAAATGAGACAAAGCTGAATAAGGTTTGTTGATTTGAAGAGAAAGGATATGAAGCAGTGCACAAGGCAATGCTTGTTCAACTCTTCAGTCTTTGATGAATGCAACCAATTATCTATCACTACGGTCGACTTAGCCGCGCACACAATCGAAAGAGACAACATGTGGAGACCTCCAATTTATCATGAAAATAATTAATCTTAATATAGATCTCTATATGAAGTCTCATTAAATTATATAGGACATTTATTTTCTCACAAGCAGTGTTCATCAAATGAACATTTATGTCATGCTAGACTGAAAGAATAATAAAATTAGAATTGAAGCAAAACTTTGATTGACTCCCCATAATATGTTATTTGACTAATGAGAAAAATATCTCTTTTTAGAAATCTTTCAAGGAAAAACTGTAAGAATTGTGTCAAGGTCAAGACAACCACCTAGATAACGAGAAATAGTTCTATAATACCAGATGATCTCCACATACAATCACTCAATAAATCAAAGTTATTTTTATGAGTAGTATGTATATTGCAATAATGGCAAGTTCAATAAAATCAATTATTGAGTTGTTAATAATGTCTATAAAATCATGAGTTTGTTTGTGTAAGATTTTTGTTTGTTCGGAAGCAATCGAGGTATCTCATTACATATGGCTAATTTAGTAATTTCTGTAATTTCTTAAGTCGTTACAGAGTTCTGAAGAATTTTCAATGCATAAAGATGAATCGGAGTCGATCAGAAGATGGTGGTTATCGATTGAACAATGTCCAAAGTGTCGACAGCTTGTGTAATAGTATTTTGAATATACTAAAACCAATGATCATGGGCTATAGTGGTCGATTCTATTTTGATATGAAAGCATGCGCTGAGGCATCCTTGATACTGATTTTGAATTTGAAAATAGTTATAGTTGAAAGATTTCATCGAGATACAAATATCACATCAACATTCCTTTTTGTATCAAACAGTCATGAGTATGTTTTTACACATATAAATCAGTCAAACAGTTCTCTAACTTTCAAATATTTATTCATAGAAAAAAAAAACATTTTCCTGATCTTTTTACAGTAAATGTTCGAAATAGTTCTCACAACATTGAATACAAAGTTTTATCCTTTCAATGCACTTCTTCTAAGATGTATGTTGGTACTCTTCAATAGATATTGAGTTGAACTCCTTCGTTACAACTTTAGCCAAACTTGTAGTATCTAGATATGTAGCAAGGGTATGTTTCAGAGACTTGAGCAACCAAAAATCTGAAATAGCAGGATCAGGTGAGTATAATGGATGCGCCATAATTTTGTTTTTTTCTTCTTGACGATAATAAAAGAAAACAATGTTTTTCATATGAGGTCATGCATAATCATGGCACTGCTTTATGGCATGAATTGCTGATGATGGTGTTTTTTGTGTAATTTTTTGACTAAGCTTTTTGAACATATATCACAATAATATATAACTTTGATTGATGTCTCTGAAGATATCTAATGAATAAATATTGGTCCATTTGTCATTAAAAAAAAAAATAACGAACATTGTTTTTTCTTCAAATAATTGTCTTCTGACTTCTGTTGAAGAACTTTCTTCTTTTGTTACTCATACACTAAACTTTCGTTTTGATTTAATTTTTCAATGATGAATCCAAGACTCGTCCTCTGTGGTTATATACATAGTCGTGAGTTAACGTTCAAAGAATCTTTTCATTTGAATACAAAGGAAAATTGTTATTCTTTTTGTTTTTATATATTTTTTTCTTAAATGATCAACTTGTATAAAGTGAGCATTAGATTTCCTTCCATCAGGGCAAAAAGAGTCATTTATTTCTGATTATCACATTCCTTATCACTTCTATCTATTTTTTATCAATTAAATTTATATTCATTT